CCCCCACTCCGGCCTTTTGTCTGTTTTAATGCGAGATGACATCATTAGTTTGACTTGCCAGTAGACGTGGAAGCCGTGCATGTGGCTCCCTCTAGCTTTCGGGAGCGCCTGGGTCTTTCCCTCTTATTCCCCCAGGCCCCCCGGCCCGTTACTTGCCTGGAATTAACATGCATGTATCGAGCATCGAGATATCATTATCATTGTTGCAGTCTTTGGACTTTGAACTCTCCCATATGCTGTGCGCTGAGCTGCTCCTTAACTGCTGCGTTAACGCCGGGGCTCCACATTACCTTCGATGATTAAAGATTAAGCTGGAGCTACAGACTGACTATGCTGCTGTGTTGGCTGGACACGGGTAAGGGCGGCCCGGGGTATCCCGAGTTACCGCCGCGTGCGATCCTGATTCGGATCGGAGCGTCCACACGTCTCCTAAACGCGGAGCTCCACTTTGGACATTGAAAAACGGAACTGCTTTCTTGGTTACCACGGAAACAGTGAAGCTGGTGATCCCATGTCAACATGGGGGGGGACTTTAAGATAGCATGCGCCAGAGGCTCCTTAATCTTCCTCTCTGCACGTCCGTCACATTTAGAGGCGTTCGAGAAATCCACCACTGACGAACAAGTCCAGGTACTGAGCCCCAGTGCATGGTTCTCCCTCCTCCTAAAGTGCAGTAATTTACAAAAACACCAAGTAAGCAAAGGATCTGACTCAGGCTACAAATGGGAGGAGAACCTTTTGGGTACATCTGGACCTCTCTTGTTTGGTTGCTGGGAGGTGATTGGGTCTCCGATCTCATCCAGCTGTTTCTTGTGAAGGTTGCAGGGGTTGGAGACCCCTGCCAAATTTCAATTATCTGAAAATTGAAAATACCGATTATGACCGTGAGCAGAAGACTGGTGCTGTGTTTCGGCCATTCTGTCTGCAGAATGACAATTTAAATGCAGATTTAAATACTTTGCTTTAAAAAGTATTCATATACAAGGCACTTGTATAGTTTCACAGTGCTTCTTCACGTCTTTAATAACAGTACAGAACGAACATAAGATTACTAACGAGAGGCCATTCAGCCCATTTACTATAGTTTGGTTATTAGCAGCTAATTGATCCAAGAATCTCATCCATCTGTTGAATTAAAAACAGACAGGTTATCAGCTTCAACTGCATAACTGGGTATCTTCTTCCAGGCTCCAAACCCATGTGTAAAGACGTACTTCCTGTTATATGTGGTGAAATCTCCGTTTTGATGTCAGTATTCAGCTTTCGGCTTGGCTGCTTTTTATACAAGAAGGCAGAAAACATGAAGCACTTCCTCATACAGTAAAAGCAGTTAAAGTGACTATTTTCTCTATAAAAGCACTGTGTTTGAATGTGTAATAATCTTTAAATACTGTATGTACTGTATATTCATGCTCCACTCACCTTTACATTGCAGGTTTTCTGGTGTCCTTTATAACCACCAGAGGTCAGTCTAATATAAAATATTTAACAGATTTGAAAATACACTTCAACGAACCAGAATCATTCCCTATAACACAACATTTAAGCACTGCGTGAAACCGTCCTTAGAACAACAACGCATACAGTAGTGTAAACAGCTTTTGTTCATGAGAGTTTCATTATGCGGTGCAATTGTAAAACCCACTTGCTCCAGAAACAGCAGGTACTGCTTCAGTATTGAATGAGTAGTACATGGTATGCTTCATTTCACAACCTTCATTCATCTAATTCTGGTCTCATATCTGTCCCCCAAGCCCATCTGCACTCTATGGGTGACAGGGCCTTCACTTTCTGCTCCCTAAAGCTCTGGAATTCAATCTGTTAGGATATCAGAGCCACATTCCCCAGTGTTCAAAACCTTCTTCTTTAAGACAGACTTTTATTTATCTTGTTCTGTGTCTGCCCCTTTGTATTCCCACTGTATTACAAAACCTTCTTGCAACTATGTAATTCTGCTGTCTCCTTTCATGATGTGCATTTTTTACTAGTGTAATGTAGAGCACTTTGAGAAGCCACCTTTAAAGC